GATAATGATAATACGTCGATGAAACGAAAGGGTGCTTCTGTGTGATGGAAGGAGCTCCGGGCACGCGTGGAAGGAAAATTCGAAATTCGGAAAAAAAATATCTAGTCTTTTCCCTACCACGTACGCGACGACTTGATTCCGTCTCGCGTATGTGGGCAGTGTTCGATGAGAATTCAAAACTAGCGTGTATCGATAGCTACTGGAATCAATCTTTTTGGTCGATCAGTCGACCGTCAATTATCTTTCCAGGCATAGCGACGATGGGTGAACAGGATTGTGAGAAAAGAATCTCGAGCACCAACTCTTTTGGTAGTTCGAAAAGCAGTTATTCTTATGCCCGTACGAAATGTGAGATACCAATCCGATTTATTCCCCAGTCCAGTTCGCCCTTCGTTATTACTCTCTTTAGCCGAGAAACATGCTCAATTCTTGTCGATCAATCATATTATCACGCTCCATATTTAGGACGCTCGAAAGATGTGCTTGATTTTACGGCGCAAAATTTGTTAGAAAAAAGTATACGACGCTTCGTCGAGGTCTTCTCTAGCAATCGAAAAACAATACTTTCGACAGAAATAACCATTTCGACTAAACAAATATTTTTTCAAAGGAAATTTTCTCAAATTTTAACGCGTTCGATGCATGACACAGCGCGAGAAAAGGCCTCGACGAGACATCGCGATTCTCTCGAACATATCAAAATACAATGGACTCCACGTTGGAGCATTACTGCGACATTACTTTCGATGTGTAATTAGATTGTAAGTAATAAATCCAATAAAAACGCACGCGTCTATGCGCACCGCGATGCGCGCTCGCGCATAGACGCCATTGAACACTGCACGATCGATGAATCGCAAGAAAAAGTTGTAATAAACGCGAGATCGAGGATGGGAAAAGATCCGATCCTTGAAACATCCTTTAGGCTTACAATCGAGAATTAAGATTGTTAGATGTTAATGTCTGCGGAGCGGGTCGGCTTGGCGCTTGGTGAAAGTGATCTTCGCGCAAAAATTTTCTCACAAAATTCCAAATTCTTTGAAAAAATTATAATACATGAAATGAAATTTTATCTGTGAGATACAAAGTCTTTTACGGCTATAAAAGAAATCACATTTATATAGGGCAAGATATTTGAGGAACTACGTCTAATAAAGAGACTCGAATTACGGAGATCATTTCGACGAAGATCGCGAAGCCGATTCGCGGGCGTGTAGATCGATGATAAGCGAAAGGAAAAGAAGTTTATAAGCGAGAATAAATTCTTCGTGCCTCACGACTTCCGGCTGGACGACCTTTCACGCGACTACGATATTCATAATTAACGGCTCGGATCGTTACGACGGGAGACGAATGAAGGAATTTGATCCGCAGTTAAATTGTAAATACGCGGTAATCATGTGAAAAATGCTCCCGATTGTGAAATTCGTTCCTTCGTAAGCGCAAACGGAAGCTCGTCGATTCCGGAAGCACGCGATCGGCCAGCCTAAATTTAAGGTCTTTTTTAGAAATTAGCGGCGGAAAGGCAGATATATATCGCGAGGGCGACTATCGCTGCAATTTTGTGAATGAGAGAGCAAGAGTTTGCCTGCGACTGAAACGTTGGGAGATAAGTTGAGTGAATGGAAAAAAAAATGCATCGATCAGTGTGTTTGCTGGTAAGAAAAACAAATCGAGAGAATGAGAGAATGAATGACATATACATAGAGGGAGAGAAAGAAATTAAGTAAGCGAAAATGGGATATAAATGCATGTGAGAGATAAGAGAATAAACAAAATTTTACTACCAAGTGGACTAGAATCGCAACCGATGGGCATTATTAAGCGAAAATAAAATTTTCGGAGCGTTTTTTCGACGAAGAAAAGCGTCCAAAATTGTACCTATTTTCATTTTATAAATTATATATATATATGTATATGTATATGTATATGTATAGATATACGACGATCTAAACGATTATTATTGCAAGATGTAATTGCAAGAGAGAGAAAGAGAGGGAGAGAGTGTGAAAGAGAGCGCGCGAGAGAGTAAAGCGATAGAAAGATGATGAAAAATAAGAAATTATTGTATCTATATTCGGAAAAATGATCGATGATGTATTCGAATCGTGATTATTATGATTATTATATATTATGATTATTGTGTATAGTTAAGGCGAAAATGGAATTTTAGACGAAATTATCGAACTCGAGGTATACATATAGGGAGTGTAAGTGAGAAAAAGCGCGCAAAACAGTATGAAAGAAAGAGAGAAAGAACGTGTACGTATGTGTGAGAGAGAGAGAGAGAGAGAGAGAGAGAGAGAGAGATTTCTCGATGGTGATTGCACATTGCATGTCGACAGGCAACAAAACAGAGTCCCCCTCCCCTCCAGTAAAAAAATCAATAGAAAAATCAAGTCACGGCCGAATGAAACGCAAAAGCAAAAAGTTTTTTGAGAACGTGAATTTTCGAGATCTTTCAAAATTTGCACGAAACGGGTGACTTTTTTCCATTTTTCGAAATCGCGAAATTTTTCTTCCGAAAGATATAAAAAAAAAAAAGAGAGAGAGACAAAGAGAGTGATTCTCGTTTCCTTTGTACCAGGACCAAAAGAAAACAAATAGCCGAATATATATCTATATATAAAAATATACATATATGTATGTATGTATGTATGTATGTTCGTATGTACGTACATACATGAACCAACACACGCAACGCGTACGAGACGTGCGAACGTGTTCTTCAGCGCGACGATCCTGCCGGAATGATACGCGATCGAGCGACTTTCGGACAACCAGAACGAGTGCCTCGGGTCCGATCCCAATGCTGGACGGGCCCAGATTTGGGAAAATTTTTTGCCGGCAGATCGACGCGCTAGAGGAACTCGAACGGTGAGGAGGAGAGGAGACAGGAGGCAAAAGTAGCTCGGACAGCAATAGTTACAGATCGAAACAAGCAAAAATTACAGGTTTAATAAGAAAAAAAAAAAAACAATAGAAATTCAGTTGGAACAGCGGAAACAAAAATCGCGTAGAAACACGAGGCAACATATAGTTATTATACTTTCTCTGTAGCGCACAGATCGCACTATCACAGTTTCAGTTTCTTCCCTCGCGATCGTAGATCGTTGTTAGATTTTCCGACGCTCATGGTATCGCGACGTCTGCATCCCTCGATCGAGAATGAGTTTCTCACGAATAATCCGTTCGGTTAAATATCACAGAGCGATCAAAAGAGAGAAAAAAAAAAAACAAAATTGTCATCGATCGACGGATCCGAGACGTCGTTAACGCCTTATTTTTTTTCACCGCAACGTATCTGTTCTTCTCATCAGTATTGCAATTTCCCAAGCCCCTCCCCTGTAATCATCTGCCTGATTACAGCATATCCTCATGTGCGGTACAAATCCCGCGGATATATCCCGTTTTTTCACCCTCATCCTTACTCCACCACCACCGAACATCCCCCCCTTTCCCCTCCTCACACAACCAACCCGTCCTTCCCCCGGTCCCTCCTACCAAACCGATTTACCAGTGTGAGTGAATGTGTCAACACGTGCAAGGATTTAAAAAGAAAAAAAAGAAATCTAGCGAATTTCGAGGAGGAATGGTGGAAAAAAAATGAGGAAAGCGTCGAGCAAAATGCGATCGTGAGGATTGATTTAAAGAGAATAACCGGGAAAACGTACACACACACACATTCGTCGGACTGTGTAGGGACATTTTGCATCAATTGTGTAAGACGCGAGACAGAGGGAGAAAGTGTGCGTGTGTGTGAGAGAAAAGGGGAGATTAAAAGCGAAAAAAAAAAAGATTAAATAAAAGAGGAAGCGAAGTCGAGTGAGAATGCGCGTGTGGAAGATGCGAGAGCGAGAGGTAGAAGAGATCCTAAAGAGAGCGAGCGAGAAGATAAAAAACGGCGGAAGCTAAAAAAACAAAATGTACGAACGAACATTGATACTATCTTCGTTTTTTAAGATCGTTTCTCCGTTCGACACGCTATATAAATATTGACATTTGTCATTGGATTATTACCGACGATGATGAAGTATCATTATTATTATTATTATTATTATTATTATTATTATTACGGAACTATTATTATTACGACGATAAATGATTATTACTATTATTACTACCATTTCTTATTGTCATTATTATCACAATTTATTATTGCGATGATGATCATGATTATTATTATTATTACGGAACTATTATTATTACGACGATAAATGATTATTACTATTATTACTACCATTTCTTATTGTCATTATTATCACAATTTATTATTGCGATGATGATCATGATTATTATTATTATTAATATTATTATTATTATTATTATTACGTGGTACAATAAAAATTTAATAAGCATTCCAAGTCTCGTGATTACCTACAATAATTTCCCATAATCATTAATAGTTTTATTTATGATTGTAGTTACATGATTGTAGTTTGTATCATGTTGACCCGTTTTACGTATAGAAATAAAATTAACTGCCAACTGATAACAAGAAGAGTAAACAGAAATGTGGTAATTTATAACGTATAACGATATCGAGTAGTTAAACACTTGCAGACACGGCTTACTTCATCAATTTTGCATAATGTTTTTCCAGAAAACACATTACATAATAAACTTTTCTCATTGCTTTCTTTCATTTTATTATTTTATAACGTCCAAAATTTTACAAAATAAAAAAAAAAGATTAATTTATATCACAAGAGTTCATATAAGTAGTAGAAAATAATATCTAACATCGATTTTAAAACTTTTTCTAATAAATTAATGATACTACTATAAACGACTTGAGTAATTAAATTTTTTAGAAAGACATGATATATAACATGGTGATAAGATTATCTTCTTATTAAAAACGTTCAAACGCTTGAATGTTTAAGCTTCGAAGCTACATCCGAGTCTGATAGTAAATATCACGCGGGGTCATCACAGTCTTAACAGAGCAGCTTACCATTGAATTACGCGGTGTTATTCAAGTTAGTGAATGACAAAGCATTAAGAAAGGAGCATCATGCTTCGTTTCGTCGTTCGCGACAAATTCATCGTCTGCGACAATCTCGAGAAATGTCTAAATGCTTTGGGAGGCATACGTGACATTTGCAGCGTTGCTACGTTATCGAGGGTCAAGGAGAGACTTATTGTTAGTGGTAGTTCGACGTCGCGTTCGAATTGTTTGATCGATTCCACGATACCTCATGCAGCTGTCGAAACGACACGCCGGGAAAATCGTCGGCTGTCATCAACGTCGGTTATCAAAGAAGCTCGCAAGACCTGTCTTTATGATCTTCATGTGGAAAAGCAAGGCAAGTTGCAAATCTCTCTGATTCAGTTATCAATATTAAATTAAATGTACTATCAATCTATGTCAAATTATATCGCAGAAATGCTTGCGAATAAATAAATATCATAAGATAACTTTTCAGTTTTCCGAAATGCGTTTCTTAATTTTTATGATATTTAGTACTTTTTATGATATTTACTGCAATTTTTAAGAAGTGTAACGCAGAAAATATGTAACAAGTGAGAAATTTATCTCATTTCATGCGAATTTATAAATAAATTATTCTAAATGTTTAGGCAAAATCGTCAATTTTGCCGGATGGTTACTGTCGGTACAGTATCGAGAGGCGATCGCAGTGTCTCATCTGCACACCAGATCGTTAGCATCGCTCTTTGATGTTGGTCACATGCTGCAGACGTGCGTTTCTGGCAAAGACGCCGGAGAATATTTGGAATCGCTAACCACGTGTGACCTCAAAAATTTAAGCAGAGGTGCCGCGACTTTGACAGTCTTCACCAACGATAAGGGTGGAATTTTAGACGATCTCATTATCACCAAAGACGATGAAGACAAATACTTTGTCATATCTAACGCAGGAAGACGGGAGGAAGATAGTCGACTTCTTTTGGAGCGTCAAGTAAAAATTTTTACACGCTCCCTATTTTGGCAGGCAATATATAATGAAAATAAGCTCTTCTGCTTTCAGGATGATTTCAAAAAGGTTGGTAAAGACGTGTATATTGATTTTTTGGATCCCCTGGAGCAAGGGCTCATAGCTCTTCAAGGTCCTACAGCGGAAATGGTCCTCCAATCATTGGTAAAGATCGATCTTCGAAGCCTAAAATTTATGAATAGTGTCAAAACTGAAGTATCAGGCAGTCGCATTAGAATCTCGCGATGTGGATACACCGGAGAGGACGGATTTGAAATCTCGGTACCTGCGAATGACGCGATTAATCTAGTCGAAAGGATTTTAGAGATTCCTGACGTGAAGCTGGCCGGTTTAGGCGCCAGAGATAGCCTAAGGTAAATTAGTAGAAAACGGATCTTATGTCTTAAAACAATACTCTTTGAGTGTGCAATCAATAATGTCAATATGTGTAAATGATTTAAAAAGATTTATGTAAGTAACAAGTAATATCAAAGTATAATAACTGTAATAAAATGGAACTATTAATGTGTTTATAATAAAATATAATAAAAAATAATAATAAATTATAATTGTTAATATTTTTTTCTAATTATTTTCGCAGATTGGAGGCTGGACTTTGTCTGTACGGTCACGATATCAACGAGGATACCACACCAATTGAAGCTGCCCTTACATGGCTAGTCGGTAATACTATGGTCTCATAAAAATCATGAATCTGAAGATAATTACTCTTTTAAACGCTTTTAAACACTTTTAAATAGCGACGAAGTTCCATTGCTCCTATTTAATCTTCTCTAACTTTATCACGCGAAACGCGAATTATCGCAGTTTTACAAAATATCGATCTTCTTTCTTTCTCATAGCGAAACGACGAAGGGTAGAGGCGAACTTTCCAGGCGCACAGCGAATACTTTCGCAGATCAAGACAGGCACGACGAAGAAACGTGTTGGGCTCTTATTGGGTCAAGGACCACCTGCCAGGGAAGGCGCGCCCATATTAACGCCGGAAGGTGAGCGAGTGGGCAGCGTCACTTCCGGTGGACCAAGTCCGACCTTGGGTCGGCCGATCGCTATGGGATATATGCCACCGGATTTAGCGCAATATGGTGGCGGAATATTGGTCGAAGTTCGAGGGAAAACGTATAAGGGTACCGTAACAAGAATGCCCTTTGTGAAAACGAAGTATTACACTGCAAAGTGATACTGATTTCACAACTAAAATTGACTGATTTTAGGCAATATTGCGAAATAATTAATTGACAGTGACGAATCGTTTATATTATATAAGTATATGAACAATTGATTCGTTTGCTGACAAGAATAAATTGCGACGAGTCACAAATAATATTTTAAATTAAATAGATAATTTCTAAAAATTCCACTTACATTAGCTAATTAAACTAAATTAATATCGTATAATTGGTAATAAATACAATGTAAGGCAAGTAACAGTTTAACTTCTTGTTGTATATAAATTTATATATATAACAATCAAGAAATTAAAAATTTGAAATTTTTATATATTAATCGATTATTGAGCGCGAGCGTGATGTAGCAAATAGCGCATTATCTGTTATACAAGAGATCCTGAGTTCGATCCCCGAATCGATTCGATTTCTGTGCAAAATTACATCATTGCAGAGAAATAGGCGATAATTAATTCAAATGTAAATGCTTTGATAACGACTATATTAACTGTTATAATGAAGTAAGAAAGTATTTATTTGAGAAGCATCAAATATCAGAGATACAATCACATTCGAAATATGAATCTCTAGCTACAATAATCGATTAATATATAAGAACTTCAAATTTGTAATTTCTTGTTGTTACATAAATTTATATGTTAGACTCTTACTTACTCTATATTGTATTTATTATTTAATGATATAAAGAATCCTTTTATTATCATATAATTGGGATTCTCGAAAAATCGTTAAATATAATATTAAATCATATAATGTAATAGAAATATTATAAGAGAGAAAGATTACAAGATTGATTACTATTTATATAGACATATGCATTTTTATAATTGTAATATCTATTTTTATATACATCATATGTAAGATTTTTATATAAAATAAATGTATTTAGTAATAATGTTATAGAATTATTATAATTGTATATGAAAGCACTTTTCAATAAATATTTTTTTAATGTATTGCAATTTTATTATAAATGTTTTATAAAATTGTTATAATAAATTTTTATATATAAAATTTATTATTAAAACTTATTATATCAAAAACAAGACTATTGATTTATAGTAAGTATTAATCTAATCATAGAGAAAAACAAAATTTTTACATTACCATCAAACAGAGTAAAATTCAATCTAAACCATAAGTTGTTAACTAAATAATGCTGATAATGAAAAATCGAGTCTTAACGATAGTTGGTATTGCAGAGATCATGAAATCAAATCGAATTCAAGGAACTTTGTAAAATGGCACACAACTTAATGAATCATAATTTATAACGAATTCTACTACTTTTTACGATTCTAATATTCTTGTTAACACTATCAGCTTTTTTCCAGAATGTATTTTTTTCACATAATTTATTATTAAATTTCAAATGCTTTCTTAATTATTAAATATAATTTAATTGTAATCTTCGAATACAATTAAATTACAATGTTGTAATAAAAAAAGCATTTCAGAAATTAATAATAACAATTTATATGTGTTCAGATATAGATATTACTAGAACTTTTCCTTAATTACGGATGCGTTTCATAATTTTCACTCATGATGCGCACAATGTATAATTTTATCTTTTAATACTCGGTGAATAATAAGGATAAAATAAATATATCATGCGCATTATATTATGTGAAACAAAACATATCAAAGATAAAACAATATGTATATCGATTTGTGTCATCAAATAAAAAGCACCCAAAAAGCCATCACACTACAACGGGAATTAGAGATTATAATCAAATTAGAGAAAAAAAATATTTCATATATAATTATATAAAAATATATATAATTATATATAATTA